ACACAAAGAACAAAAGAGACTAATAAATTTATCACTTAAAAATAAATCTGAATCTTAAATAAAGGAGGCGGTAGCAATATGGTGGTTGTGTAGATCGACAGCGGTAGAGTATAGATCGACAATGGTAGAATATAGATTGGCGACAGTAGAATGTAGACCTCTGACGATAGTGGAGATAGTTGGTGAACGGTGGCAACATCCGAACAACGATGTGGTGGTGGTGAGTAGATAACGGTAGCGATAGTGGCAGGTAGACGACAAAGACGGCAATGGTGGACTGAAGTTTCTGAAAAAATAATAGAGAGAGAGAGAGAGGAGAAGAGAAAAGAAGAGAATATGATGGGTCGATGATGACGACAACAGTGGTGGCAAGTAGGTGATGGCAGCAGTAGCAGCGGTGGTGGTGGGTGGACGGCAACGGCAATGGTGGTGACCCATATTGCGCAAGTACACACCCATGTCAAAAAAATCCAAGTGCAATAAGGATCAATCCCTTAGCAATCCCTTGCTCGGGATCAATCCCTATCAGTAGCTTAGCAATCCCTTGCCTTCAGAAATGTGCAAACTCAACAATTTATGCCAAAAACAAAAAAACAAAACTTCCTAAGACCAATTTAATACTCATCTACTGGAAAAACACCAGACTTGGTACACTTTGAAAACACGATTGTCATAAATATATATATATATATTCTACATGAAATGCAAATACATCTATGAGGGTAATATACCAATATATGCATTTCAAGTCACAGAACATTTCTAATGCTAAAATAAATTATCATAAATCAAATTTTGACAGTGTTGTAGTGTGAAAATATTAAATTTTAACGATGTTGCTTTAATGCTACTTTGTGAGTTCCATTATGAAAGAGACAGGAAAGGGTTGTAGCTAAAATTTGACACTTTTCCAGACACTCTGAACTATATCCTTTCATAACTAATTAGCAATACATATAGCTAATCTTCTAAAGTAAACTCAAACGTGAATCCTCCAATAATGCAAAATGGAAAGGAACAAAAATTATCATGCATGTTATTCAATCACAAGTCAATAATGATTAGCTATGTTGAATGCAGAGCAGAGAAAAAAGATCAGTAATAATACTATACAAACATAGAAAAAAATATATTTAGGAATTATTCAAAAATTTAAAATTAATAGTTAAAAGATTTACTTAGGTTTTAGTCCCACAATACAAAGCTTAAATATACACCACAGATCAAAAATCATGGTAAATTTTTGATCTTTTTTTAAGGGACTGACTTCTCTCTAGTCCGATTTAGGACTAGAGAGGTGTTGTCCGGCCTATTGGTTCCATTTTTTTTTTGTCACATTTCGATAATCTAAATCATTCACATTTTGGGATTCATCGAGAAAATTATCCATCCAAAAAATCAAATCGACCGAATAACGGCAACCACATGTTCGAATTAGTTTTATATGAAAGAAAAATTGATGATAAGAAAATAAACATTTCATACAAAATTGATCCAAACATATGATTTTCGTTATCTAATCGACTTGATTTTTTGTAGGAATGATGTACTCGATAAATCTTAAAATCTGAACGATTTGAATTATTGAAGACCCAAAAGTAGACCTAATGTGCCAAACTGAGCAATTCAATCTAATTTGGAATTGGAAACCATCCAGACCCTCTTTCTTAATTCCTAGGCTTTTGCAAAAAAAGATGTTAGTAGGTTTCGTCTGCCACAGTAGGCTGAGTTACATCTTTTGGAAAATGTTTGAGAACCCACAAAGGAGTACCTTCACGATTCCTATTGATGTATTCATCATTGATTTTTTAAAATTTTTTTTTTCTATCTTTGACAATGACATGATGGTCCAAATCATTTTGAAAATTATAGAAATTGTGTTTTGTGGAATCTTTTTCATTACTGTATATCTTTTTAACTTTTGAACACAAGATGGGACCACGAAGAAAGAAAGAAAAAAAAGCATAGATCAATTGTGCTGTAATAACTTTATATTCAAATTTCAAATGTTTCCTTGCATTTGAATGATTGCCAGAAAGGTTGGCAGTGGGTGGGTGCTTTTTTTATTTACAATATTTCTAGAAACTGAAATTAAAAAAATAATAATAATAAAACAACAATATACACCCCTTTTCACATCTTTGTGAGGTTTCTAGCCAAAATAGATAAATAAATAAAAATAAAAAAGAAGTAACGCCAGATGTCCATAAATCATATTTTTCATCTTTTTGTTTTGCTTTCATTTTGTTGGCTTCTGTTTTGATTCATTTTGCCTTATTGGGTTTCGTATCGTCTTTATGGTTTATTTTGTAAAATAAAATAATTTTTTTTTATTATTGCATATGCCTGATGAAATATTTTTTTTACATAGGTGACTTTTATTACAGGACTTACGAGGTAAAAGGTTTGGGTCATCGATATGGGTCCAAATTGACGCCCACAAAAAAAGTTTGGAGGAATATTGGGAGATGAAGATATGGAGTTGGACAGTTTTAAGAACAAAAAATAAAAAATAAATTTAAGAATTTCTATTTGGTGGGAGAAAAAAAAAAAACAAGAATTTTTTTTTTTTTTATCAAAGCCAGGTTTCGATCCTGGGACCTGTGGGTTATGGGCCCACCACGCTTCCGCTGCGCCACTTTGATTTGATGTCATAAGTTTGTGTTATCTATATATATATATACACTATTGTGTATTCACTTTGCAAAACAGATTGCTTCTATATCTACAAATTTTCAAGAAAAAAAAATACATTGTTTTTGTGAGCTTGATCAATTGAAGGGAGATTTTGGTTTGTATAATTAAAGCTGGTCATCTTGGTTTAGGCATCAATGTTTCTCTAGTCCTCTGGTATCACATTTCTATACCTAATTCCTCTTTTCTGATTTAGATCTCATTTGCATTTACTTCACTAAAATTGATAGACAAGATCTCTCTGTGTCATTGGTTAATTTTCTTTTATCTTGTGTAATTTACATTAGTTAAGATGGGAATTATGCTAAAAAATTTAGAACTCCAATCTATTTTTCACGCTCCACAGACTCTACTTGATTCCATCAACCTCCTTTGATTTTCTAGATCACCACAAAGACCCTTGCGTCAATCTCCATATAACGATAGATCCATTCACACAAACCGCAAAGAGACATCATGGTGATACAATGTCATGCAATGGAAAGTGTGATGATTTTTATGAAAGTGCTCAAGAGAAATTTGCCTAAGTAAAGATTGAAGAACACTAAAAAACTGTTAGGTTACTAAAAAATTATGACGCTTAAACCCAACCAATGTATTAGGGTCTTTTGATTAGAAAACTAAAATAGGTCAAATTAGGATTATTCCCGCTAGAACGATCGATCCCCATGCGATCACTCTAATCTGAAGTTAAAACCATGTTTTGGCATGCATCAGCGATTCATCCCATTTGTTTGCGATCGACTATTTAGCAATCCCCACTTGTTTTGCCTCTATTTTACTTTAGGACAAATTATGACGGTGGTTCTTATACTTTGATCATTGTGTCATTTTGGTTACTCTAATTTTAATTACCACGATTTTGACATTGAATTTATGATATTGTCCCAACTTAGTCCAATTGATTAAACTCTTAGCATTTTTTTTATGGAAAATACGTACATAAGTGACGTGTCATATTTTTAAAGGAAAAATAAAAAATTTATTTAACTCAACGAGTTAACCTCAACCAATTTAGTAATCATCTTTCGTTAAATAATAATAGAAAAAAAGGCATTATCAATTAAACCAAATTGATACAAAATTTAAAATTAATGGTCAAAATTGAACAAATTGAAAGTGTAGGGACCAAATTGACACTGTAACCAAAATATAAGGATCTCCAATGCAATTTTCCCTCTTCTTTAATAATAACATTTCGAAGGTATGATATTACCCAAGCAACCTGATCTAAGTCTAAGGTACATTTCCCAATTGTCACCTTTGTCCGCCGGAATCTTCTTAATCATATATAAGGAGTGTCTTTCCATGTCTCAAATCAACTGGGTGAAAGCCTTACCTAATTGAAAACAATCTACTTTACATTGAAAATGGCATTCTTTTGATTAGAAAAAGTTATTTCAACCAATTTCAAATGGCATTATCCCAATTATCACAAATCCAATAATGGTTTCATATGGATTACTCCAAGCCTAATATGAGAACACCAAACCATTCCAAGGCATAGTAAATGCCCCAGAATCATCAGTTGGCTCTTCAAAGTCAATGCTCAACGCCTTCTCGAAAAAGTCCGCTTGTATCAAAACAAAAGCAAGTCCTTAGAAGAAATCATCCAAATTGGGAAAGAATTTAGTAGAATGAATATCAACATCGAAAAGTAATAGAAAGGAACATGGACACCTCAAGAGTCACCTTGAAAATTGTTTCCCTCTCTAAGAATCAGTCCTGGTTTCTGAAAGGAACATCTTGGCATCTATCCACAAAGATCAAGGTACAATTAAACAAATAGACATCACCATCATGACCAACAAGTCAAAAAACCAAATAGGGTACTCTTCTCTCAATTTTTGGTTTCCAGAACTTTCTCAGCTAATAGAGAAATACTGAAAGACATAGAAAATCCCCTAAACGTGTCTTGAGATGTGCAAAATGTACTTCACACTTTAAGACCTACAAAATCATCCTTTGTACGAGTATATATGTGTGAAAGAAAGGCATCAATGCCCTATAGATTATGACATTTGCGCTCGGAGAACAAACTTGCATGTCTCAAGACCCATGAAGTACATCTTGTAACACTTGTGTTCCTTAAGTCATTGGAGAGTCTATTTAATTCATTTATTTTTCATTATGGGAGTCTTTGGGGTGGTTGTATCTTCATTTTGGAGGAGTACAATTCGATTTAGACTTGTTAGGATTGTTCATTCGTGCTTGGTTTAATCGAAAAGTTCATTGAGAACAATTGATGAAAAGTTTGTTCCACAATTGATGAAAAGTTTGTTAGATCAATCTGGGGCAGAGAACAAATGGATTTCATGGCAGTTGATTTAGCAGGAGCTACTGGTGGCCTATTATGCATCTGGAACCCAGAAGTATTTCAACTGGTTGATTGCTGCAGCAACAAGAACTTCATAATTTTATCAGGCACTATCTATAATAGTTTTGAGTGTGTGATTTTAAATATTTATGGTCCAAATGATATGGGGGGAAGAAAGGTGGTGTGGGATAGCTTGGCTCGATTAAATCTGGTATACAATAAACCTTGGTGCTTGGGAGGGGACTTCAATGAGATCATGAGTATATCAGAAAGAAAGGGGTGTTCTAGACGAGATAAAGGTACGAGGGAGTTTAATGAGTTAATTGATAATCTTGAAGTGGCCGATTTACCAATGATGGGAAGAAAATTTACTTGGTGCAATTCTCAGGAGGGAGAGAAGTGGAGTTGAATTGACAGGTTCTTGCTTAGTCCAGAATGGCTGCAAATGTTTAATTTTAAGCTTTGGGGGTTGCCTCAGAAGGTCTCAGATCACTGTCCTATTTTGTTGATGGAGGATTAGAGAGATTGGGCCCCAACTCCTTTTCGATTTCTAAATGCTTGGACCCTACATCCTAAATTCAGATCTTTTGTGGAAAATACGTGGTTAGAAGCTAATGTGGTGGGTTGGGCTGGTTTCAAATGTCTTCAGAAGCTCAAAATACTAAAACTGGCATTGAAGCAGTGGGCTAAAGAAGTCTTTGGTGATGTGGAGCATAAACTTAATCAAGTTGAAGAGGAGATTCATGCACTAGATATAAGGGCTGAAGAAAGACCATTATCTATGGTAAAGCAAGCTAGAAGAAGAGAGCCTAAAGGCGTGGCTTGGAAACTAAGTAAAATGGTGGAATGGGCATGGATACAAAAATCCAGAATCAAGTGGTCAACACAAGGGGATAGGAACACAAAATTTTTCCACATTATGGACAGCTCTAGGAGAGTCAGAAATTCTCTGTGCTCAATAGCAGTCAATGGAACTGTTAAGGAGGATCGTGTGGAGGTGAGGGCTGCAGTTCAACAGCATTTTATTAACCAATTTACTGAACCATGGCGTAATAGACCAAGGCTATCTGGGCCTTTCGTATCCATTGAGGATAGAGAAGCTGTTGAGCTCTTGGAAGCTGAGTTTTCAGAAAATAAGATTGTAGCTGCAGTTAATAGTTGTGAAGGAAACAAAGCACCTGGACCTGATAGGTTTAATCTTATGATGTTTAAAAAGTGTTGAAAGGTGATCAAGGTAGATGTGCTGCAATTCATGCAGGAATTCCATCAAAATACAAAATTGGTCAAAGGTATTAATAGCTCTTTTGTTGCTTTGATTGCGAAGAATGAGAACCCCTCTGGTTTGAATGATTACCGGCCTATTAGTCTCATTGGCTCTTTGTATAAAATTTTGGCAAAAGTATTAGCTAACAGAATTAAAACTGTGCAGTCTAGAATTATTAGTGTTGCATAATCAGCATTCATTGGGGGCAGAAACATCTTAGATGGGGTGTTGATAAATAATGAGATTGTGGATGGATGGAAGAAGATTAGAAAGAGTGGCTTTGTCCTAAAGTTAGACTTTGAAAGAGCTTATGACTCAATCAATTGGAATTTCTTATTTACTATGCTTTCAAATTTTGGCTTTGGGGTTAAATGGATTAGTTGGATGAGGGAATGTGTCTCATCAGCCGGAGTTTCTATTTTGGTAAATGGTTCGCCAACCTCAGAATTAGCCCGCAAAGGGGTCTTAGACAAGGTGACCCTCTATCCCCCTTCCTTTTTAACATTGTGGCTGAGGGCCTGAATATCCTGCTAGAAAGAGCAAAACAGTTGGGGTTGATCAAAGGGGCAGCAGTTGGTTCAAGTGCTTTTAGGATCTCCCATCTGCAATTTGTAGATGACACAATTCTATTCTGTGAAGCTCATTGTTGGGAGGTTAATAACTTAAAGAGGATATTGAGATGTTTTGAAGTGTTGTCAGGACTAAAAATTAACTACCACAAGAGTGTGGTGTGTGGAGTTGGGTTAACAGATAAAGCATCCAAGGAATTTGCTAATAAGTTCAATTGTCTTCATCAAAGTTTGCCCCTAAAGTACTTAGGACTCCCTCTAGGTGCAAACCCAAGGAGAAAAAGGACTTGGCAGCCAGTGTTAGCCAAATGCAAACTAAGACTTGCCTCTTGGAAGAGAAGATTCCTCTCTTTTGCGGGTAGGGTGACTTTGATTAAATCTGTGTTGTCTAGCTTACCTATTTATTATTTATCTTTGTTCAAAATGCCAGCAGGGGTTGCTAAGGAATTTATGTCAATTCAATCCAATTTTCTATGGGGTGGGGATGGCTTCAGTAGGAAAATACATTTGGTCAAATGGAAGAAGATTTCTAAAAGCAAACAACAGGGGGGTCTAGGGGTTAAAAGGATTAGACTTATGAATGATTGCCTTTTATTGAAATGGTGGTGGAGGTTTGGAGCTAAACCTAATGCTATGTGGAAACAGGTGATAGATAACAAATACAATCAGGTGGGTGTAGGGTGGTGTCCAGAACCTGTTGATAACCCCAGGATCTCATGCATATGGGCTGACATTTTGGGTGTTGCTAGAACCAGACCTGGTCTGGTGGAATTCTTTAAAGAAAACTCTACTCCAGTGATTGGGGATGGGAAAAACACTATGTTCTGGAGAGGTACATGGTGTAATAATGTGTGCTTGATGGAAGTTTTCCCTAGGCTCTATTCCTTGTCTTTGGAAAAGTTTGATTCTGTGAATGTGATGCATATCAGAAGAAATAGTGAGGTGGAGTGGAACCTCAATTTTAGAAGATCACTTTTTCAATGGGATGTGGAGGATTTGAATAGGTTGAAATTGCTGTTGAGTAATGCTCCAGTCCTTAGGGAAAATATGGCTGATGCTTTGCATTGGAAAGCAGATCCATCAGGATACTTCACTGTGTCCTCTGCTTATAAGTGGTGCGATAATTCCTTAGGTACAGTGTGTAAGGTTTCAGATCTGTTATGGAATGATGTTTCTTCACCTAGAGCTCAATTCTTTGGTTGGTTGGCATGGAAGGGAAGGCTAAAGACTTCCAGCTTTTTGCAACGAATTAGAGTGCTCTCTGATGAGGCCAATGTGAGTTGCATTTTCTGCAATGAGGAAGTGGAGAGTGTAAATCATGTGCTTCTTCTTTGCCCTTTTGTTTGGAAGGTTTGGTCACATATGCTAAAATGGTGGGGATTGCAGTGGGTTCAACCTGATACTGTGAATGTCTATTAGATTGGTGGGCTGGTACAAGGCTGAAAAAACAAGAGAGGGTGTTCTGGAAAGCCATGCCTCTGGCTGTGCTTTGGTCCATCTGGAAATTAAGAAATGATTGTATCTTTAATGGCATTCATCCAAATTTTGAGGAGTTGTGTGAGGTCATTAAAGTGCGAGTTGCGATGTGAAGCAAAGATGCTAGCTCTTTCTACTTAGGTTATTCAGTAATTGATATTGTGAATAATCTGCAGCAGGTAAGGTTTTGCATTAGGGGTGTTGGCTGAGGCATTAGGGGTTCTGGAAAGCCATGCCTGGTTTGCATTGGAAAATGGTTTGCATTGGTGTAAGGTCTGCTGATCTGGACTGGTTCCAATTCCATGCTTTTTGGAGAGTGGTCTGAATCTCTGGAATGTGGTTTGCGTTGGTGTGAGAGTGGAGGGTGGTCTGCATCAGTTTGACCTTGATTTCTTTGGAATATGGTTTGCTTTGGTGAGAGGTCTGCTGGGAGATCAATGTGAGGCTTGCTGCTGGGAGGTTTACTGGGAGGTGGGAACTGTTTGCTCTGGAATCTATTGGATAGCAGGGCAGCTGGTTCTGATCTGGTTATGATCTGTTTGCTCTGCTTAGGTAGGGGTAGTAACTGTTTGCTTTGTATTGCTATGATGTTGCTATTTCATATCAGTTTGAGGCTATTTTGGCACTGGTTCTGCTCCTACTGGTGTAGAGAGTGCATAGTGTCCCTTGTTTGAAGTCTGTGTATGAAGGCAGCATCAAACAGAGAGTGCTCTCTGATGAGGCCAATGTGAGTTGCATTTTCTGCAATGAGGAAGTGGAGAGTGTAAATCATGTGCTTCTTCTTTGCCCTTTTGTTTGGAAGGTTTGGTCACATATGCTAAAATGGTGGGGATTGCAGTGGGCTCAACCTAATACTGTGAACTGTCTATTAGATTGGTGGGCTGGTACAAAGCCGAAAAAACAAGAGAGGGTATTCTGGAAAGCCATGCCTCTGGCTGTGCTTTGGTCCATCTGGAAATTAAGAAATGATTGTATCTTTAATGGCATTCATCCAAATTTTGAGGAGCTGTGTGAGGTCATTAAAGTGCGAGTTGCGATGTGGAGCAAAGATGCTAGCTCTTTCTGCTCAAGTTATTCAGTAACTGATATTGTGAATAATCTGCAGCAGGTAAGGTTCTGCATTAGGGGTGTTGGCTGAGGCATTAGGGGTTCTGGAAAGCCATGCCTGGTTTGCATTGGAAAATGGTTTGCATTGGTGTGAGGTCTGCTGATCTGGACTGGTTCCAATTCCATGCTTCTTGGAGAGTGGTCTGAATCTCTGGAATGTGGTTTGCATTGGTGTGAGAGTGGAGGGTGGTCTGCATCAGTTTGACCTTGATTTCTTTGGAATATGGTTTGCTTTGGTGAGAGGTCTGCTGGGAGATCAGTGTGAGGCTTGCTGCTGGGAGGTTTACTGGGAGGTGGGAACTGTTTGCTCTAGAATCTATTGGATAGTAAGGTAGCTGGTTCTGATCTGGTTATGATCTGTTTGCTCTGCTTAGGTAGGGGTAGTAACTGTTTGCTCTGTATTGCTGTGATGTTGCTATTTCAGATCAGTTTGAGGCTATTTTGGCACTGGTTCTGCTCCTGCTGGTGTAGAGAGTACATAGTGTCCCTTGTTTGAAGTCTGTGTGTGAAGGCAGCATCAAACAGCCAAGGTAACTGCCAGTAATTGATCAGAACTTATACTACATGGGGTTGAAGAACACATCAACAACATTTGTATCTGCAGTTGTCAATGTCCTCTCTGCCCTTACCTTTATCATGGAAATAATTTTCAGGGCTGCTGTAGTTCAAGGCAATGTGTTTGGTATGACTGTTGGGCTGTTGTAATTCAGGGTAATGTAGCTCAAGGCAAATGTCATCTGCCTGTTCTGTTTTGTTGCTTGAAGGGCTGCTCTGATCTCTGATCTGTTTTAATCTGTTTTGCTGGTGTGTTGGTTTAAACAAATCTGATCTGCCTGTTCTGATTGGTGACTAATGGAGTGTTGTATTGTCTGTTCTGGTTTTAGGTGTTGTAGTGCCTTATTTTTCTGGTTTTTTTGGTGTTTTGCTCTGTTTGTTTTGCTCGTTGGTTTCTCACCAACTAGGAGGTTGGAGCTTGTTTTAGTTTCAAGCTCCTCTTTATTGATGTAATTTTTCATATAATTCATCAATAAAGTCTCCTTTTTGCCGATCCAAAAAAAGAAAAGTTCATTGAGAACTTAGAAATTTTGTTGTAGTGTCGACACTAGGCTCCTTGAGGGTCGACATCTGCTGTTCTTCTCTCTTTTCTTGTTTGGTTCTGCTTCTGGGGTCAACACCAATCTTATTGGTGTCGACACTGCCTTGCTGCTTTGCTTTTGGTTTGTTATTGCTTTTTGGAGTAGACACCACTAGTTCAAAGGTCGACACCCTATCTATTGCAATCAATAGTGTTTCAACATTGCTTCTTGGGGTCGACACCATTGCTCTGGGTGTCTTCACCTGCGAGTAATTTTCATATTTTTAGGTCACTATTTGGGCCTTACTTTTTGGGATTGACTTATTCTTTTAGGTTGACTTTGGGAATTTATTTCACTTTAACCTAGTACTATAAATAGGGTCCTCACTTACTCATTTATTCACTTTATCTTTTCTTTTCTCTGTTTTTCTCCTCTACTTTGTAGAACTCTCTCTCTCTCTCTCTCTCTCTCTCTCTGAACTCAAGCTTTTAACACACGATCTTCAGATCTACTCACTTAAAAACATCTTCTTACCTTGGTCCTTTGAGAAAGATTATAGATCTCGTCAAGGGCTTCATTTTGATCTAAGAAATTCGTGGTTTTGTCGCCATTAAGTTTTTCAGGTTCTCCTCTTCGCTTCAAGATTTAGGGATTTCCTTATTTCTCTTCAATACCTTGCTATATATAGACTTGTTGGTATTCTCATATTGCATAAAATTATGATTTTGAG